CTAGTTCCTTGATATGTAATGTTATGTATTTGAAATCTTTCTTTTTTCTAAATTGTAGGAATGTATTGCTATAAACTTCCCATGTATAATTACTTTTGCTGAATTCCATAAACTTTGGTATATTGTGTTTTCATTTTAATTTATATCAAGATTTTTTTATCAAGATTTTTTCAAATTCCCTTTTGATGGCAAATCTGCTTTTCAAGAATATTTTGTCTCATTTACACATATTTTGAACTTTCCAGCTGTCCTCCCATTATTGATTTCTATTTTCAAACCATTGAAATTGGAAAGAAATACTTAATTTTATTTTAATGTTCTTTCATTTGTGAAGCTTTGTTTTGTAGCCTATTGTATGATCTATCCTGGAGAATATTCTGTATGCACTTTAGAAGAATGTTTATTCTGATGCTGTTGGATGAGTGTTTTGCATATGTCAGGACCATTTGGTCTAAGACATGGTTCAATTGCAATATTTGTTATTGACTTTCTGTCAGGATGATTTTCCATTGTTGAATATGGGTATTGAAATCCCCAACTATCATTATATTGTTATCTGTTTCTCACTTCATATCCTTTAGTATTTGTTTAATACATTTAGGTACTTCAGTGTTGGGTGCATATGTATTTATGATTGTTTTATCTTCTCGATGAATTAACCCTTTTATCATTATCTTTTTTTATTCTAGTTGCATTATTTGGCTTAATGTCCTTTTTGTTTGATACAAGTATAGCTACCCCACTCTCTTTTGTTCCCATTTGCATGGAATATCTTTTTCCATCACTTTACTTTGAATCTATGTGTGTCTTTAAAGCTGAAGTTAATGTCTTGTAGACAACATTTTGTTGAGTCTTGTTTTTTATTCATCCAGACACCCTATGACTTTTTTTTTTTTTTGAGAGAGCACACAACACATGAGCAGGGGAGGTGCAGGGGAGAGAGGGAAAGGGAGAGGAAGAGGGAGGGGGGACAAAGAGAGAGAGAGAGAGAGAGAGAGAGAGAGAGAGAGAGAATATCTTAAGCAGGCTCCATATCCAACATGGAGCCTGACTCAAAGCTCCATCGCACAACCATGAGATCATGACCTGAGCTGAAATCAAGAGTTGGACACTTAACTGACAGCCACTTAGGCACCACAACTCTATGCCTTTTGATTGGAGAATCGAATTCATTTTTGATGGGTAAGAACTTACTAATGCCATCTTATTGTTTTGGCTGCTTTGTAAATTTCCTTGTTCCTTTATTCCTCTCTTAATGCCTTCCTTTTGGGTTAGGGAATTTCCATAGTGGTCTTTGATTCACTTTCTTTATCTTTTGTGATCTCCTGTAAGTCGTTGCTTTGTGGTTACCATCAGGTTTACATAAATATCTTGTAGCTATAATAGTCTTTTATGTTAATATCAACCTAAATCTGGTCATATACAAAAACTCTACACTTTGACTTTCTTTCTTTTTCTTTCTTTCTTTCTTTCTTTCTTTCTTTCTTTCTTTCTTTCTTTCTTTCTTTCTGTTGTACCTTTGGTTTTAACTTTTCTCTTATTTTTTTGAGACACAATTAACATGTAACATATTTTTGATATCACAATTTACCTTTTTTTATATTGTGTATTCATTAACAAATTATTGTAGCTATAGTTACAATAGCTTGTCCTTTTATTCTTATATAGTTAGGTGGTTAACACACTACCATATGGTGGTATTAGAGCATTCTGAATTTGATAATATACTTAGTTTTATCATGTATATTTTGTACTTTAATATATAATTTGTTTACTTGCCTTCTCCTTTTGAAAGTACTCATTGCCTGAATGGCCTTGCTAACACGACTCTACTAAACTGCAAGGGAAGCAAGGAAAGGTCTTTTTACTGGATGGCAAGTGCACAGCTAAAAATTGGAGTTCTATTATTAATAATGAGGAAGGGCATGAATTTTGAGAAGCAGAGAATAGTCTCTGCCCACAGGCCTTATTTCTCTGCTCTTTATTTTAAATAATAAAATGGGGCACTAGTGTAAATTTGCTGTTATAATTTAAGTTGGGGGGATTGCTGAAATAAGACTATTTTTTTAAGTCTCAGTTAAGTGCAGCAAGTGTTTAGTGAGCATCATATTGTGTAAGGTCCTGGGAATGTAAACAAGATATTGTCTCCTGCCTATGTAGTGCTTACAATGCACTGGGGGAATAAATAAATATACAGTTTTAGGATGATGTGTTAAGTGCAATGATACAGATATAAGTGTATCTCTGTGTACGTGCTGATTCATGGATTTATATGAAAAAAATTTTCAGTGACGTACATTTCAATTTTGTTATTCTTCCATAAGTTGCCCTCTTTAAAAGGATAAAACTACATGAAAAGAAGTTTAAAAAATAGTGCAGAGATATATAGATTAGTTTTTATAACATTTCTCTTGACATTTCAACACTTATTTATTATTAAAGTTGATCTCTATGGCTTTTCTTACACTTGATTGAAGAAATGTCTTTTCACATCTCTCTTGGCAAGTCTCAGAGTAATTCATGCTTTAGATTATCAACAGTAATCATTGTAAATGATTAGGTTTCCTGTTCCTAAGAATTTGTTAAACAATGAAATGACCCCTCAATTTTAGCATTCACACCTAATAATGAGATTTCACATATTTTCTTTGTGTTTGGCATATTGATATCTTGTTAAAATCACTAAATAGTTTCAACTATTGGTGAAGATATATACTTTCTTCAAGTCTCATTAAAATATAATTTAAGGTTTCAGATTTCATCACAAAATTTTTGTATATCAGTGATTCCATATCAAGCAAGCAATCAAGATTTGCTCAGTTAACTTAATCAGATAATTTAAAAGGGATCCCTCTTATAACTTGCTGCCTTGAATCTGAACCAGAATGGATATTATGACTAGCAGGTTCTTTGTGCATATATATTACTTAGTATATAGAAGTCATGTTTCTGAAAAAGGAAAGACATTCACACGCAGCTTTCAGTATTTATATATTCTATCTGACCATTTTGGAAATCAGAAAAATAAAAAATACTGGAAAAATTTTATAAGTATAATTACAAAGGTTCTTTTTGCTAGAGTGAGCTGTAGTAAACCTTTTTTTTTTTTCATCAGAGGAGTCCTAAATTCAGAAACTGTGGAACAGTCTATAGTCTTACTAATAGTTACATATTTAAAATGTAAATCTTGAAATGTAATTCTTAATTTAAGAACCATATTAAAATGATAAATTTCTTGGGATGCCTGAGTGGTTCAGTGGGTTACATGTCTGACTTTTGCTTTCTGCTCAGGTCATGATCTCGTGGTTTGTGAGATTGAGCCCCACATCCAGCTTTGTGCTGACAGTGTGGGGCCTGCTTGAGATTCTCTCTCTCTCTCTCTCTCTCTCTCTCTGTCCCTCTCCTCCTTCTCTCCCTCTCAAAATAAATAAATATTACAAAAATAAATTTATTTTTGTTTTTAGAATTAATATTTTTCTCTACCAAAAGCATATTATAATTATTATTTTGCTTTATTTTTAAACTTTTATATGAAGTATAACAAATTTATACAATGTAAACTATGTATATTTATATATATATTGCAAAGTGAATATGCCTGGGTAACTGACACCAAGGTCAACACATAGAACACTGTCAGCACTCAGAAGCCTGCCTTATGACTCTTCAATCAGTATTTTCTTCTTCTGTCTTAAAGATAACTGCTATTCTGACTTCTGACATTATAACATAATTTTGTCTGTTTTTGAACTTTATCTGTATAAATCATATCTGTATTTGGCTGCCTCTACTTAATATCAAGTGTGTAAGATTAATCCATATTATTTTGATATAAATAGAAGTCATTCATTTTTATGATTTATAGTATACCAATGCATCGTAACAATTGGAGACTGTAGAAATGTATGACTGTAACAATTCTTAGCTGTTGTCTTTGCAAATATTACCTCACCTCATTACCTCTTTCTTCTCCAATTACACATATAATAGACCATGTAATTTTTTTTTACCATGTCCCTATGTCTTCTGTATTCTCTTCTGTATATTCCATTTGTTTTTCCATGCTTTCAGATGCTTATTTTCTTTATAGCTTGCCTCATCGTTTACTAATTCTTTCTTCAGTTGTGTCTAATTTGCTGTTAAATCTATCCAGTACTTTTACATTTTGGTTTTGTATCTTTCAGTTAGAGTTTCTATTGGTTATTATTTTTTTAATACTTTCTAGTTTTCTGCAGTATTCTTATTCTTGTCTTTTGGTTTCTTGAACATAAGCAACATATTCATTTTTAAAGTCTCTTTTGCTTATCTGCTTATCTCTGAAGATCTGTTTCTACTGTTTATTGTTTGTTTTTCATCAAGTTAATCCATCTCTTCATGTGCTTATTTGTGATTGAGAATTGGATATTGGTGTGAAAATCTGTAAAAATAATTTGATGCTTAAGGCACAATTATCTTTACTCAGAGATGATTTACCTTGACTTCTGTCAGGTGGATAAGAATCCTGCTAGATTATTTAAACATGCTTATTTCATTTGAAGGTAGCTGCAGCCCTTATGAGGGCTGGCACGTTTCCTATTTACTCTTTTAAACCATAGCTTTTAGGTTCCTAATCTAGAGCTTGAGAGATTTTACTGGGACCTTTTGTTTTAAAATCTTTTCTTTTTACTTCCTGTCTTTTTTTTTTCCCTCCACGTACAAGGCAGGTTTTTGCATTTCTCAAAGTTGTGTGCAAGGATGGAGGTGGCCGGAATGTGACCCCCCCATAGTCCTGCCTTAGTCCCTCCCTGCCCCATCCTCATGGCCTCTGCATCTGTGCATGGATGGAGCCCTGGATCCTGAACTCCTGAGTTCCCTGCTTCATCTGCACCTCCAGCAGCTAGAGCTTCTACTTCTCGGTCTTCAGCTCCTCCCAGATGTCGGCCAGCTTCCTCTCTAGCTGTACTCCCTGTCTGCTCCCACACTTCCTTAAAGACTGCATCTCCTCCTGTAGCCTCATTATATCACCTATCACGTTCGCTGTCCCTGAGATTTTGAGGGACCAAGGAAAGTAGGGTGGGAGTGTCTTCGAGGTCTGGAGTTGACTTGATGGGATAAGGATTCTTTCGAGTAGGATACCTGCTCTCTCTGGGGCACTTCCTCTTTGGGGAGTACAGCCTCTTTCGAGGTAGCCTCATGCTCCCAGGTGCCTTGGAGAGGAGGGTTGTAGCCTTCTCAAGGGCAGGCATGGACCCTGGATTGGATTTAGACTGGAAGGGGGGGCTGTCCCTCTGATGGAGATGGTGCATCATCATGCAGAGGTGGGGCTCCTCTGGCATGTGGACTTCTTGGGATTGAGTCTTATTGGCTACAAGAGACTTGAACTTTGGCAGGGCTTGCTCCAGAGAGAAGTGATGGAACTGAGTGTTGTCTCTGGTGAAGGTCTCTTCAGAGAGCACCTGCTCAGGGGTCGAGACCTTTTCTAGGGTGGAGGTCTTGTCACCAAGAAGGGCCATCTTTAGGCTAGGGGCTTCATCCTCCGGTGGGACTTCTGGGACAGGGGCCTCATCCCCAGAAATGACACTGTCTGAGCTGGGGGCACTTGTCCAATCAGGCTCTCCTCCAGGGTGGGGTTGTTTGGGGCTAGAACCTTGAACTCCAGAGTTAGGGCCTCCTCTGAGATGGGGACCTTATCTGGAGTCAGGGTTTCCTCTGAGGTGGGGGCCTTATCTGGAGACAGAGTCTTCTCTGGAGTGGGGGTTCTATTCACAGGAGGGGCCTTTGCTAGGCTGCTCTGCCCTTTCTCGTGATTGGTTGCAGAGCACTGCCAGGAAGCCTGGGTTTTCAATCCCTTTCTGCCAGGGTGGCCTGGACCCCCCCTGAGGAAGCTGCCACTGGAGCCTGAGTCTGGGATGGGCACTCCTAACTGGCTCCACTGGGTGTCTCAGATGGTTTGGCTGTGCTGTGCCCAGTGGGGGGCTGTCACCAGCTTCTTGACTGTAGGGAGGGCTGTTCTGAGCAGCATCTTCTTTGATTCCTTAGTAGGAGCTGATTCCCGAGATACCACTTTCCTTAACCTCCATGGTCTTCCTCAGTACTTTTACCTCATCCTTCTTCCACAGCACCAACTCCTCCGGGGCCTCAGGCTGGTAGTTGGACAGGACCCTGTAGATCTCAGTGTGGAAGACTGTCTGCAGGTAGTCTAGAGGGCTGTCATAGGTCAGGCTGTTCAGCTTGGGCGGCCTACTGGAGACCAGGGCTGACTGAAGGCATGTCTGGGTTCCTGAGGCTTAGGAGCCCACTGTCCAGCAACTCCACAAAGTTGGATGGGAAGGCTGCCAGCTGCTTGTTCTTATTCCCCAGCCACCAGTCACCCCCATTCCCCTTTATCACTTCCACCATCTCCTCAATTTGCAGCTTTAGCTCATCTGCCTGCTCCAGGTTGTAGTTGAAGTTCACTTTGCAGCATCATTGGGGACCTCAAGATTTGGCCGGGCAACCTCAGCTGTATGCAGAGTGAGGGTACCTCCCTGGTGCTGGGCTGAGTCTCTGGGATCTCCTGCCCAAGCGCTCAGGGGAAGAGGCCACAAGATCCTTCTGCTCTCCGTGCAGCCAGCCTGGAGCGGGCCCTTTGCACACCTGCCAGACCAGGTCCCCGGGGGTGCCAGACTCAGCTTGTTCTCCTTCTGCACGCGGTATCCAGCCAGGACCAGCACCTCCGTGGCTTCCAGGTCACACCCCAGGGCAGACTAGGAGAATGGTGCTGTCCTTCAGGTAGCCGTGTACTCCCAGGACCTTTAAGTCCAAGACTTATACCCTTTTGTTTCACAAAGATGTCAAAAGCTCTGCTCAGCTTCTAGAGCTGATTGATGAGAATTCTGAAATCAGTGGATTTTCCTTGGAGAAAAGAATGTGAATGCCAGGCTGACCTTTTGCATTCTATTCAACTGAATGAGATACAGTGGTGTAATGGGTTTTCAGAATGATGCCAATTCCTAATCTCTCATGTAATGGTGTTCAGACCTTCATACTACCATAAAGGAGATAGATAGATTTAGGAAGATTCAGGTAACAGAATATGGCAAAATTTTACACTAAACTGAATTTTTCTCACATATTATCCCTACCATCCCTGCTAATTTACCTGGCTCCAAGCTATTAATCTATCTCTACATTTATTCATTTGTTTACAGACAAACACATGGATACATGTGTTTATTGTGTCTTATTTTAAAGCTGCAACATTTCATATTGATAATGACAGAATATTCTGAATGTTCTAGGGAGCAATTTAGCCAGTGACACTGCTACTAACTCAGCAAATATCAATTATCAACAATCAAGATGATAATCTTCTCTAAATTCAAATTCTATAGATGTATGTCATTTACAAAATTATTAGGAATTTTTAAATTAGAAATTTTTAAATTTAGGAATTACTTTGTTTTGAAAATAATTCTTGGTAAACTATAATGTTAGAGAGTTTGGTACGTAAGTAAGTTTCAGGATATTTTTAATATTGAATTTAGTGAATTAAGAAATGAATGGAAAACTAGTAGGACTAATGCAAAGTGCTTAATTACTACTTTCCTCTCAATAAAAAATTACAGTGGTGCCTCAGAAGTAAAAAAATGACAATTTTTTTTATATAAAAATTAAAATTTTCTATGTGGAAAAAGACACAATAAAACATCAAAATATAAAAATTATTTGAGAGAAAATATTTATGAGACATACGGTAGAATAAGTACAAATACCTTTAAATATTAAAAGCTCCTACCAATTAAGAATGAAATGAAAGGAAAAGCTATTCAGTACAAAAACGGAACAAAAGACAAAATCAGGCCTCCACAGAAATAGAAATGCAAATGGAAAAGAAATATAGGAAGAGATGCTTAATTTGAGTGAAATTCAATTAAAAGATCAATGAGATTCCATTTTCAACCATAAGTTTGTTGATAATCAGAAGATTGAAACATCCAGTTATTTAGATGGTAAAAAGTTGCATATTTTCATGTACTGTCTGTGAGTCAGATTGCCACAACTCTGGGAATGTAATCTGACTCTTGAATTTAATCTGTAATATCTATTAAAATTAAACATTTTTAATGCTTTTTATTTTGAGAGAGAGAGAGAACGAGCAAGGGAGGGTCAGAGAGAGAGGGAGACACAGAATCTGAAGCAGGTTCCAGGCTCTCAGCTCTCAGCACCGAGACTTATGCAGGGCTTGAACCCTCGAACCGTAAGATCATGACCTGAACCAAAGTCGTATGCCTAACTGACTGAGCCACCCAGGCGCCCCTATTAAAATTAAGAGTGTACATTTAACACAGCAGTGTGTTTTGTAGAATCTATCTGAAAAACATAAGCCGTAAATATTTTGTGTATACAAAAAAGACATGTGAATCAACATTGTGTTCTGTGATAAAAATTGAAAACAATCTAAAATATTCCTCAATAGAGAAATGTTGAAGAAATTATGCTGTGTTACTGTCCAAACTATGGAATGTTATGCAGCTAGTGACAATACTGACATCCGTGAAACATTAGTAAAAGGAAAACAGACTCAAGAAAAGACTCATTTGTATAGTGAAAGTTCATACTTTTGTAAAAACAACAATAACACCCTCTAATACTTAGGAACACACATTGATTAGTTTATGTTAACATACAAAAATGTTAATAAGAACATATGCCAAGCTATTAATATTGGTATCTTAATGGAGACAATGATTGGAGAAGACAAGATTTGTCATTTTTTTCTTTTACCATATTTATGTTATTCTCTATTTAAAATGAACATGTGCTGCTTTTGTAATTTGAAAATAAATTCTCATAAAGGATAGCGATAATAAACACAACATATGTGAAGGCAAAAAATGTCCAAGTAATCAGAGATTTTGTAGTATGTGGTGAGTAATGCTAAGTTTTCTCTTTTAAGGATAAGACTATTCAAATAGAGTCATATGTGTTTATTAATAATGATTGATATTCATTATTTTATAATACAAATGTAAATCAAACTATTTTTCTAAAAATTAAGCACTGATATTTATATCACATGTTTAAAAGAGCTGTTGTTGTATCGCTGGTTTTTGAAAGTTTGCAGATCTATCTCAGACTAAGCTTTATACTACTCCTTAAAGTCTTGAATAAAAATACCTTTTTGTTAATAGTGCCATGAATATTTATTAGAATATTCTCAAATCATCCCATCTAATTCATTTGTAAAATTCCTACTTTTATTGTACCACTCTTTTTATGTTAAAAAATAAAAACTAATCTCTTAACATAAACAGTAAATTCTCTGAGAACAGCTGCGCAGAGAGAACTCAACAAATACTGAGTGATTGATTAGAATACTTAACTCAAATGGTACAGATTAGTTTTATTTTTAAATTTATAATAGACAGTTCAGAAGTTTAAAAGGAATAATCATAATGAAGAATAGAGAATATGGTTAGGGTAAAATAACATTAAACAAGTTGTATATTCTGTGCAAACAACACCACTTTCATGTTTTTTTAGAAGCTGAATTTGTTAATTTCCTTTTGGAAAGTGTGGCATGAAATTGTGGAGAAGTTAATTTCCAAATTCAATTATTTTTCTTAACTCTAACTTATTTAATATTGTTTGCAAACCTGGGTGATTTTATATTCCCTTGTCATGTATATTAGTTTTCTGTGACTGCTGTAACAAATTACCGTACTTGGTAGCTTAAAACAATACAAGTTTATCATCTTAGTCTCATTGTTTGGACCTCTAGAGGTCAGAAGTCCAATGTAGGTCACGCTGGGCTACAATCAAGATGAGGTCAGGGCTGAGTTCCTTTCTGGAGGCTCTTGGAGACAATGCCCGACATTACTTGGCTCGGGCCCCTTCTGTCTTCAAAGCTGGCAATGGCTATGCAGGTCTTTTTCACACTGTGTAATTCTGACACTTGACTCTTCTGCTTCTCTCTTCTACATTTAAGGACCCCTTGTGATTAATTGGGCCCTTCTGGATGATCCAGAATAACCCCCCTATTTTATTTTTAAAAACTTTTTAAATGCGTATTTATTTTTGAGAGAGAGAGAGCGCGCGCGCGCGCGCGCGCATGAGTGGGGGGAGGGGCAGAGAAAGAGGGAGATACAGAATCCGAAGCAGGCTCCAGGCTCTGAGCTGTCAGCACAGAGCCCGATTTACAGGGCTCAAACTCACAAACTGTGAGATCATGACCGCCCCCTGCCGAAGTTGGATGCTCAACCGACTGAGCCACCCAGGTGTCTCAATCCCTCTATTTTGAAGTCAGCTGATCAACAACCTTAATTCCATCTGCACAGGTAATTCCCCTTTGCCATGTAAAGTAACATAGTCACAAGTGCGGAGGATTAGGACCTAGAACTCTCTTGGGGGTCCATTATTCTGCCAACCACATCATTTTGTTGCTTACAGAACTATAGATTGAAATGGAATAGGGTGAGTCAGAGAGATGATAACATTTTTAAGAGATCACACTATCTAAAACAGCAGTTCATATATTATTATTATTATTATCATTATTTTTAATTGCACCTTCAAGGGAGAAAAGCATGTTCTTGATAGTGAAATACAAATAAAAACAAGAGCTGATTATTTGCAAAGGTATTAAATAGGCTCTGAGATACAGGAGTTCTAAAATTCACTTTGAAATTTTGACATCAGAAATATGCAGATTCCCAAACTCTTAAAATTACTGATCCTGGTAATTATTTCTGAATTATTGCCCCTTTTTAAGCTCTTTATATTTTAAATTTTTCTTTTACTCTCTATTCTTAAAAAACGGATGTATTTGCCCTTCAAATAAAAGGGTGATTTCATTAAAAATGAACAACTACTTTCTCTGAAGTACATTTTGTTGGCAAAGCATTGTTAAAAACCTATGTCTCTGAGTCCAGAGTCTTACTCATTTTCTCCTCTGATCAATGCTCACTTCTGCTCCAAGTACACTGAGCTAGCTATGGTAGACTTCCGTAGGCAACACGTACACATGGCTATGTACTCTCAAAGAAGGAGATGTTAAGCATACCCTTGCCCCAGTTTTTCTCTTGCAAGAAGTAAATAGATGAAAACTTCCACTGATTAAATTCACGAATAGGCATGCTGTGCTTGGACTCCCTTTACACTCTTCGGAGGTCTTAGGAGTCTCGTTTATACCGCCCTTGGGAGCAGTAAGAAGAATGAGGGGGAGAGCACATGAAACTCATAGACCTTGCACCTGTTATAGCTGTCTTTAAATCACCTGCTTTGTCTCTGTTTCATTTTCCTAATTTGAAAAATAGGGAGATTAATGACTTGTACTTCCAGTTCCAAAATTTCATGATTGAAAGATCTCTTTTTTGAAGACTAAATTCTACTTAGTCTAGAAATTGACAGTTATGGTCATAGTTATCTAAATAATTCTTCTCACTATGACTCTGTCATACTTACTTATTGTCAGTGGGAATGACTACTGTCTTCTCAAAAGCCAATTAAGGGGTGTTCTTTCCCTGGTAAGAAAATCCTGAGCACACAGGATATCCCTTAACATGTTTTGAGCCATGGTCTTCTTGAAGTTTTATGGACACTATTCTGTGCCCTCAATTCCCTTAGCTGGCCCTGTCTGTCTTGGCACTGGGGGCAACCATACCTACTACCACTCACTAGAAGGATCTCTGCCCTGCAGGTCTTTAAGGACAAAATCTGCTCTCTCAGTGAAGCTTACTGCCTCTTTGCTTTTCCAGAAAGGAAAACTAGTACATCCTGCCTTCAGGGCAATATGGGTCTCTGTGTGAGAAAATAAGCAAGGGAAAGTTTTCAGCTTGTTCCTCAGAATTCTTTGTATATGTTTTACTCAGTGTCAGTAAATAGCTTTTATCTCACTAAAATACACACACACACACACACACAAACACAAAAGCAAAAACAAAGCAGAAACTTTCCACTGTCCATGGAAAGAAACAAGGGGGCTTTTCTTTGTACTGGTGCTTTCCCAGTGTGGGAACCTTGGGGGGAAATTTCTTCTTCATCAGCTTTCTTGAAAGGTGGGGAGAAGGGTATCTTCCTTACTGCGAAGCCCTGTATCTACTTCTCACGTTGGTGTTGGCTTTCTCCAAGACTTTAAATTCTTTTATTTCTGCAGGTTCTGAGGATTGATTTTTGCCTTCCTTTTCTGTATAAAACAGTTGCTACTCACTTTGTGCTTAGAGGATCCTTTCTTCCCGAATTTGACTGATAAGTGGAATGCAAATATGCTTTATAGTAATCGCACATTTATTTGCCCATTTATTCTTTTTTTTTTTTTTGCTCGACTTTTAACTTACCTCCCTAACTCCTTTGAGCCATTTGCTCTCTCACCACGTTCCCACTCAATGGACTTCTATTCATACCTCAAATATGTCGTGCTCCTTTTGACCTTGAATCCTACCTTGCACTGTTTCAACTGTCTGGGTTCCTCTTCCCGTTTGCTATTTGCAAGGCTGACTTCTTATCCTAAATGCTACCTTCTCAGAAAGGGCTTCTCTGACAAGCTTGTGGAAGACAATGTATCTCTATCCCTACGAGTTAGGCCTTCTGTATTATCTTTCACTCTCAGGTAGAATCCTATCAGTTCATAAGATCTACCAAGTTGGCCTCTGATACCTGAGCACTCACTCTCATAGAAGCAGGGTCTGCCTGTCTGATTTACTGAGTCTCAAGCCATGGAAATCATCACCAAATAGCCCTGCCACAGATCTTGGTGACTGTAAAAACTTTTTATCTCTTCCCTCTTCCCTCTTCCCAAATAAGCTTCATTAACTTCAGGAGAAGAGCGGGCTCACATCTAAACAACCTATTCTAACTAGGGCTGCAAAGTGTCTTCCCCGTGGGACAAGTTCAGAATTACTTATATTTTTATGTCTTCCTGGTTACCACAAAAGACTGGACTGCACACTTTTCTGTCCCTTCTATGAAATGAGATTGTGTTTCTGGTGGTGTGCCCATTTTAGGGAGGGATGCCAGGTTCTGAGATGTAGGACATTCTTACAGAGATATTCTTTCTTTAGGAAGAGGTTCATTCAGTCTTTTTAAAAAATACTGAGCATCTGAGGTGGGATTTAAGGATCACTTTCTATACATCCTTCTTTATAAGAGTTCCTGGACACCGCAGAGGAATCAGCATGGTCAGCAAGCTCTATCAAAGCTGCATTCATATTATTCCACTTGAACCTCCAGCCAAGTACTTTAGGTCTGCACAGGGGTTTTTAAGAAGGGATTGGAAAGTCCCCATTTTCATCACCATCTCAGCTATCTGGTATTTCCCAAGCCTGCACTGATGTCTGAGAACCCACATAAAAACTCTTACATCTGTTTTCACAGCCAGCCATTATTTCAAAAACACATTGTATGTATTTCTAGGGATAGTAGTCGTTAGTCTGTGTGTAGATAGACAGTCTTCACAGTAGAATTAATGACAACCCAAGGTTGTATTTGGACATTTTATCAAGCTCTTGAATTTAATTTTCTTGTTGGGCAAACCTGAAATTGGTGGGGTGGGGCCCAAAAACATGAATATGTGTTACTTTTCTCCTTGTCACCATTTAAAGAGATTTATGTAGACTCTAGAACTTTCTCCATTTCATAGAAAAAAAGGCTAGTATGGTCCAGAATAGTTTAGCATTTCAATCTCATTTCTGATCTAAAACTCTCCTTTTGTTCTCCCCTTACTGATCAGCCTAAAAAAAATGATGTTTGGGGTAGGGGTGGGAAAGCTCTAATCCTGAGACACTGTCTCCTCGTCTTAGATTGGGCTGTCAGATTTATCAAAAACAAAACTAGACACAAAAGAAAAATAGTTAGATTTGAGTTTCGGATAAACAAATTATTTTTATTATAAGTATAATCCAAGTATTTCATAATACACAGTTATGCTCATTGTTGTTACTGTTTATCTGAAATTCGAATTGATCTGGGCATCATGTATTTTATCTGGTATCCCTACTCTTATCACCTCTGGATCCTCCAGAGTGTTGGAGCTTGGAAAGGAGGAAAGGACAGAGAAAAATATCTTTTGTGTAACTGAGCACATAATAAGCAATTTCTTCTTGATTGATTCTCGGGGTTCTGCTTTGCTTCTGCGAGTGACAGAAGCTCAAATCGGGGTCCTCTCCTACGGCACATGCATCCTCTTAGGAAGCTCTGCTGGTGACCTCCCAGCGCTCAATTCCCTGCTGCAGGGAATGTGTTCCTGTGTGAGCTCTTCTGAGTGGTCTGAGGAACCCCTTCTGGCAGGAGACCCGGAAGCATAGAAGGAAGATCAGCAAGGCCACTGACAAACTGGAAATCCAAAGTTATTCAAAGATCCATTTCCCCTTTTTACTGATAACCAAAGAGATTAGCTTTCTTGAAGACCCCTTCACGTGGGGCGCCTGGGTGGCGCAGTCGGTTAAGCGTCCGACTTCAGCCAGGTCACGATCTCGCGGTCCGGGAGTTCGAGCCCCGCGTCAGGCTCTGGGCTGATGGCTCGGAGCCTGGAACCTGTTTCCGATTCTGTGTCTCCCTCTCTCTCTGCCCCTCCCCCGTTCATGCTGTGTCTCTCTCTGTCCCAAAAAAATAAATAAACGTTGAAGACCCCCTCACGTGGTTTTGGTAGACATTAGTTTAAGTGACAGTAGGAAGTAGATACCACTTTCAAAATGGTCAAATGAGAAGCAGTTTACAAAACTTGAAAAGAGACAAACTGTTTACTTTCTGTTTAAGGTTGAATGATATTTCATTGTATGTATAGACTACATTTTGTTTATCCATTCATCTATCAATGGGCATGGATTGCTTCTATGTTTTAGCTGTCATAAACAACGTGTTAGGAATGTGGGCATACAAATGTCTCTTTGAGGCCTTGCTTTCCATTGTTTTGAGTATATACTTAGAAGTGGAATTGGTAGGTCATATGGTAATTGTATTTTTATTTTTATTTATGTATTTTTTAAGTGTATTTATTTTGAGAAAGGGAGACAGAGAGAGCAGGGGAGGGCCGGAAGGAGAGAATCTCAAGCAGGCTCTGCACTGGCAGTGTGGAGCCCAACAATGGGCTCGAACCCATCGACCGTGAGATTATGACCTGAGTCAAAATCAAGAGTCAGACACCTAACTAACTGAACCACCCAGGTGCCCCTGTATTTTAACTTTTTTAAGAAACCGTAATACTGTTTTCCACAGTGGCTGCACCATTTTGCATTCGAACAACAGTGCACACATTCCAATTTCTCCACATCTCCACCTGTACCTTTTTTTTTTTTCTTTGTCATAGCCACTTTAATGGGTTGTGAGGTAATAGCTCATTGTGGTTTTTGATTTGCATGATCTTACTGATTACTGATGTTCAAGGGCTTTTCATGTGCTTGTTTGGTCATTTGCGTGTCTTCTTTGGAGAAATGTCTATTCAAAACAGCCTTTTGCTGTTTTATAAGTTGAAGTGTCTGTGTTTTTGTTGGTGAGTTTTTATAGTTTTCCATATATTCTGGATATTAATCCCTAATCAGATAAATGATTTATAAATATTTTATCCCATTCTATGAATTGCCTTTTTAGAGACAGAAAGTTAAATGATGGTTGCCAGGAGTCGGGGGGAAGGAAAATGGGGAGTTATTGTTTCATGGGTATTCGGTTTCAGTTTTTCCAGATGTGAAGTGTTTTAGAAATGGATGATGGCAATGGTTGTATAATGGATACAAATGAAACTGATACCACTGAAATGTGTACTTAAAAGTGGTTAAGGTAGTCAATGTTGTACATTTCACCACACACACACAAAATTAGAAAAAAGAACTCACCTGGGAAAGCCTAAGGATGAGAAAATAAAAGCTTGTTATAAAATGATCAAGGTTAAACAATAAATTTCACTCATTCATGAAAAAAATGAGTGTTTAAAAAGATACAGGAAGGATATAAGAAAACCAAAAGGGAAAATTCAATATCCTTGAACTCTTACAGTCACTTTGATGAGGGAGCAAAAGGCAAGCTGTCACCCCTCAAACCCCCACCTTCCCCACCAAGTGGGATAGGTGTGATATTTCTCAGGCACTCCTGGCTGCCCAAGAACAAAGGAAATGGAAAAACAAATGGTTAACTTATATAGACCAAAGTCATACAGGACATTAGTCTCCATCAGTTTGCAACTATTTTAATGATTTACAAGAAAAAAGGTAATATCCAGAAACCTATAGACTCAGTTTCCTGGAGCCTTAACATCACCCTCCCCTCCATGGTGATGTGGGGAACAAAGGCAAGAAGAAAATATAGAGAAAACGAAATTTCTTTATAACCTTCTGCCATTGACAAGTACTTGAGGGAGGGGATTAGAACTTTTTTTCCCCGGAAACTCCCTACTGTTTTTAAAAGTTAATGCTTTGCTAGAGGGAAAAATATCTTAGCCTGACAATAGCTAGGCCTCTAGTATCTTAGGAGTCCTCTTTAGCATATGAAAGTCCTTTTGGAAACCTCCCTTTTGTCTTTACCGCCCCCTTCCCCAACCAACTCCACGGTATATAATCAGCCACTCCTCACAACCCCAGTGCAGCTCTTTCTGCCCACGGGGTCCTGTCCCCATGCTTTAATAAAGTAATCTTTTTGCACCAAAGACCTCTCAAGAATTCTTTCTTGGCCATCGGCTTTGGACCCCCACCACCACTCCAAAACTGCAACAACTATCCCCAAGACTGAAATACTAGGGAGAAAGTGGTAACTGAAGCTGGAGGCAGAGCTGTGTAGAGAAGGTAACCAACATGAGTTGTGTCCTTCACTGCTAGGAACAGCCAGCTTTTGGTAACACCATAACTCTCCTTCCTCTTTCCCATCTCCTGTTCATTCTCCATAAGAGAGCCAGAGGGCATGAGCACCTGTCGATGCACCCATACTGGTCAGCCTGTCTGGGCGGGATTGTGGATGCTGGGGGTGAGGTGGAGAAGGGTTGGAAGGTGGACTTGAAGTGGAGGAGAAAAGCACATTATAGTCTCTCCTTAGACTAATGACTCTTGATTCTTACTCATTCTCTTTGAACTTTTTAGTCTGATTTTACCTAAGCCTGGAAGGGTATATAATGTTTGCAGCAGCAGACAGAACCTTCAGTAGGCACATGGAGATGTGTATGTGGGCAGTCTCGACAATGTGTGCTATTTAGCACCAATAGTCCTCAGCTTTGGTGTTAGTAGAAATCTCAAACTATTGGAAGAGCCTTATTCAACAGCCTGATTCAGGTATAAATTAAATCAGTATATTATTAATACACCACCTGGAGGAAGATAGAAGTTTTGTGGAGTCTGAAGTTTATTCAATTTTGTAGAAACTCTTTGAGAAAAGGATACAAAAGTATGAATGCAGATTTAGCTATGAAAGAAACTATTGTTATAGAATTCAAAACCCACATCACATTTGAAAAAGTTGACTAATGACGAAGATATCACAAAATCTCCACACCTCTAAGATATTATTTTCTTCTCCTCTTGGGCTCATACTCTTTGAATACTTCTTTACATAAGAAATATAGTATTTTCGATACAGAAAGCTAATTCAGCCCTTCCTCTGAGATAGTTGATTAAAATTTGTGTTTAGAGATATTTTCACCACTTACAATTGCTACCACCATGCCAGGTTTTAGAATTTAAGAAAACCACCATAGTGCATTTATAATTGTATCCAGAAAGCATATTCTTGACACAAGTCAATTCTTTGACTAGATATCAATGTGAATCAAATTCTCTGTTTACAGTTTTAACTCATCTAACGATTAGGATATTTCCCACAGTCTACCTTCTGGCTGTGTACATTTCACATCGTCTTCTCTACCCATATGCTCTGGTTCCAGGTGCTATAGCATTTGCTCACATTGTGACTTGACCTTTGGACTTGTATGCTTGTGTTATGAAACTGGGTGTGTCTACACAACAGTGTGTTCCTTAAAGCCTCTCCCAGCTGACAATAACCTAAGGCATACATGCCTGCGAACC